ATGGATGGATGGATGGATGGATGGATGGATGGATGGATGGATGGATGGATGGGTGGATGCATAGAGAGATGAATGGATGGATGGATGGATGAATGAATGGATGGATGGATGGATGGTTGGATAGATGGATGGATGAATGGATGGATGGTTGGATGGGGGATGAATTCATATATAACCTCACCAGTAATTGCATTAAAGCATAACTTGTCCGAAGGCGGTGTAATCTCCCCATGTAGAGATAAGTGCAGGTCAGTTGATTTCAGTATACGTGTCTGTCCGCAGGGCAAAATCACATATCCGCAGACGATACTAAAAATACGACGACAAAGAAAAAATATAATTATGTTGACACATTCGTTTGCATTCGTTATGTTTTTTGTAACGTGTATCGGTAACGCTTGGGATCAATACAGTTACGATGTCATCGATATTATGATTTCCATAACTTATCAAAATGACGTGGCCAAGCATTTCAGTCACTATAATAATTATATTGTATCATTTCTTTATTATGTAGTTTAACCTTTTCCACAACGTAGTTACAGATCGGTCTGTTACTGAGTGTAGCGTATACGTACTGAGAGAGAAACGAAGGAATACTTGTTGCCGAAAACGAGAAAAAAGTTCCATCCTATTGAACGAAAATAATAGAAATATCAATGTTAGCATCTTTCCTTCATAATTATTTTTTATTTGGTAGCAAAGACACTTGTGATAAATTTTTTTTCTTCACATTTGTACATTTTTACATTTAGGAGAATGACCGGTAGAAAATAAGCAATGTTTTTTCAATGATACTACAGTATATAGGCCTACTCGTGGTTAAGCCTGTGAGTTTCGAAGATCACATTGTTAAACATTTTTAAATGAATCTAATACCATGATTTGATTATTATGTATCGTCGTTATTATAACAGCTGGTGCTCTCAGCAGATGCAGGTTGGCACTGGCCGTTAATTCTCGTCAGCTAAACGAATAATAATCTAAATTATCTAACCTCCAGATATCCACAGTGTGACATGTATCTGTAGTAGGTTGTCCAGTCGCAAATGCCCCAGGAGTGTCGCCTGACGCCTCTTAGCAGCAATGTCCGCTCTGGTTCTCTTGCGACAGTCAGTTTACCAAACAGCTGACCACAGACCTCATACCTCTGATGTTCCTCACTGCAAATAGTACATCTGCATTTATATTACACACGTGTTGAAATTACTTCGAATTTTTGTTATGGCACACATGAGTAAGAGGCTATGATTTAAAGTGATTGTGTTCTCGTTCAATATAGAAAACAATCATGATTTCTCCTAACTTCATAACTGCAAAGTTCTCAGTCTGCATTTTTTATTTTGCAAATGAGAGTCCTTTGAGCGCACCTGGATTGGCGTAAACGATTGAAGAAAGAGGCATTCCACTTTTCTCTGGCAATAGCATCGGAAACCACGGATGGATCGTTGTCGTAATTCAAGGAAACCCGTTCCGTTAGAGCCGTCCACCTACCGACCAACGTCATAATTATGCATGAACGTAATGATTAAGAGCTTTGTATGCTATGAGTGATGTTCGCTATTTAAATTTTTCCATTAACACATTTCCAGACAAAACTGGCTTGTTTGCATTCAAAATGGTTGGGAATACATTTTCAAAAAGACACGTTCCATTACGTACATTGTTTAAAAGATCTATAAAGAATTATTTTACTCCGAGGACAGCTTATTCGTGATCGGAATATATGGTTACCATGTGTAGACAAATGTCAGCAATAAAATCCTGGGGAAATCTGCCAAAGGTTGCACGTGGCTCGCAATTGTGTTATGACCACGATCCTGTGACTCTTTGATCACATACACGTTGGCTTATCAGATCGATTGACAAATGTATAATGGGCTGACGTGTTTATTATATATAGATATGTCTATAGTTAAGGTTTAATACTACGTATGACCATTGCATATAAAAGCGTGTTATAATTTTACAGCAAGTACGGTGATGAATAGGAATTTTGTCAGGCTAGTACTTGATTGCTCACTTCGCATACATGTGTAAATATTAGACGTGTATGAATTTTTTTGCTCGTACACTAGGCCAGCAGAGCCTGCTTTGTGATGGGAGTCGTTGCACTTATTGGCATATATTCAATTTATCGATACAGTACTTACACGAAAGCAAACTCTACATGGACTAGTTTTCCTTCATCGTCCGCGTCCCACTCGTTTCTCTGTCCCTGTCTACAAAATTTCCAGTTTGTACACATGTGTTCCGACCTTCACAGTAACACTAACCCGTCTGCCTTGTCTCGTTCCCTCATGGGGAATTCCTCTATAACTCCTTCCATTCACATATCGTACTCTCGCAAAGTCTCCAGACGGTGACTCACCCAATCAAAATTGTATTCAATCAAGAGCGTATAAAGAAGGAGAGCGTACAACGGTGAAATGGTGAAACCATGTTGCAGTATTAGTCGAATAAAAAAACTTTGCCCGTGTTATTTTGACGATTCTTTTCGGTTCTTCGGTTTTCGGCGAAAATACCAGATTTTCACCGCTCATTATCTCAGCGTAGGGGCATCGTAGGGACATGCGGTTTGTTTTATATTAACAAGTAGGACATCTGATCAATAATAATGCAAAGAATCGTCAAAATAAAACGGGAAAGTTTATTAATTTGACTAATACTGCAACATGGTTTCAGCATTTCACCGTTGTACACTCTCCTTCTTTATACGCTCTTGATTCAATGCATTTCAATCAGGCTGATTTCAATGCATTTCATGCGCAGCATTCTGGCATCTGCAGAAAGCTCGACATGGTTTTAACGAAACTCGTGTTCGTGGGTCGCTGTCGCCTACTAGTGCTAGTATATGTGTTGTTTTCCACGGCTCGACCAATCTATGGGAAATACGCCCAACCAGGTGAGCAACCGATCAGTATATAATGCTACCGAGTTCCACTAAATCATTGTCAATATTTAATGATATTACCAATCGTGGGGTTATACAAGGTTCCATAGAGTACCGAAGTGAATGACGTCACGGTGGCAGTGACAACGAACCTACTGTTCTAGCACATCATATGCTCTGGTCAACATAACTGCGCTGTGTGTTTTTGTACCCGATTTGTAACCATCATTCTAAGAAGTCATTTATTGGCAGTTTTTTATAGATTTCCAAAGGATGGAAAGTGAAAAGCAGCGGAAAAAAAAAACAATTTTTTTTTTTAAATCATTAAAATATTTGTTAAGATCGACTCTGCTACGCTATGCTTTTACGCTGGATCCTGCAGCGCACACACTCGTGTTGTTACGTAGCGCACAACATTTTCACGGCAGTTAATGGTTATTGGGAGAGTCCAAGTGGCTTGTGTAGAACAGAGCCCGTAGCGTTGTCTTGCAACGTGACAGTCACACTTCGGTACTCTATTGAATAAACTACGAGCAAACGAACGATTCGGAAACTCCGCGGTTGTAAATATATTCGTGAATAATATTCGTAAATATATATTCGCACGTGCTTATATTAAATATAATCACGTATTCACGCAGGTTCATGGTACTTGAGCAAACGGCGCGAGTCGGCGTAGCGTCTACTGTGTGATTTAAGAGATGGAGGCAGCCAAGAGCACGATGGAGCAACAACCACGACTAGATCGCACCCGCATGCGCCACCGAATGTCTCGTGTGCGCAACCAGGAATGATGTGCAACTCTATATGATAAGCTAAATGTGCGAGAATACTTAATATCCATCTGCTCCTACTTTTTTTTTCTGCCATCGCTCTCTCTCTCTCTCTCTCTCGGTCTTCGCTCTCGGCTCTCCGTGTCTCTCTTCTCTTCTCTCGTGCTGCTCTCGTCATCTCTCTCTCGATGTTCCCCTCGTCTCTCTTTCGTTCTGTCTCTCCTCTCTAGGTGCTCTCTCTGCTCTGCTTCTCTCCTCGTTCTCTCTCTCTCTCTCTCTCTATTCTCTCTCTCCTCTCTCTCTTCTCCTCCTCTCTCTATATATATATAATATTATATGTATATATACTATATGCGTGTATGGTGTGTGTATGTGTGCGTGCGTGCGTGCGTGCGTGCGTGGCGTGTGTGTGTAGAGAGAAGAAGAGAGAAGAGAGAGAAAGAGAGGAGGGGAAAAGAGAGAGAGAGAGCGGAGAGTAAAGAGTAAGCGCAAGCCATATCAAAGCATGCGTAAGGGAGTACGGTAACGGCCCCGCCCGGACCGGGGTACGGGGAGAGGGCCGACGGTGGCACATCTGAACAGTTGCCGAGATGGGGTTTACCGTGGGTGCGAACCGGAGCGCGGCGCGCGCGGTAGCTGTTATCGACGGTGTGGAAGTCGCGGATGTGGTCACACCTGGGCCCCGCGTGGGTACACACACGACACTACACGGTTACTCACACCCAGGACACACAGCAGCGTGTCGCACAGACACCACACGTGGCACACAGCAGGGCACACAAGGAACAGCACGCACACGAAAAGTCGCAACGACAGCGCCGCAGCGAGTTCAGTGTTCGAGTGCGTGAGTTTGTGAATATTCGTACACCTATTAATTGAGGTTCGTTTCGGCTGAGCGCGTGTTCGTAACTTACGGCACTCCGCATATAGTGCTACCTGCATCATTACCTCATTTCCGAGTTATGCATTAGCCCTGTAATATTTTGGTCGAATGCATTTATCTGTATTATCTGTATTTATGTCGTACTTATTATTTTTTGTTTGGGGATCTGCTCTTGATGAGCTTACTGGTGTTGTTTTAGGCGTTTGATTGCGTGTCTATCAATGGATTGGACCCACGAGCGGCAACAGTGATTGCGTGGCGCGAAATCAACCTCGTAGCTTCGTGACAGAACGCGTGAGGTACGTCATACATCCCCACCGACCGGACGTTTCTCTCTGCTCTCTAAATATTATATATAAGTTAGTCTAATATTATTTGAGTTCGTATGTATGTATGTAATCCTAGTTGTTGATATGTATGGTTTGTATGTATTGTATGTATGTATGTATGTATCGTATGATTATGTATGTACGTGATGTATGCGCTATGTACTGTATGTATGGGGTATGGTATGCTATGTATGGTATGTACCTTTCCTATAGCGGGCCAAAACCGGCCGCAAGCGATTGGATGCAAATTTTCAGCAGGGCCATACTCTTCTACCGGGGAGTGTTACCTAGATGAAAAAAACCTGTCAAACGCGTCGAAAACTCACCGAAAAATGCCACGGTGAAAAACGCCGTTAATTCGTCATCTTCCGTCCACAAATTCAGTCACGTCACTCGCACAGTGCCTGGGCCACAGACAGAAAAACCTATGACTATTTTTTGCCTCGACACGTCATGATCTCATCAGCTGCTTGATATTGGTAAACCGAAACCGGAAATGCAATACGTAAACAGAGCAATAACCAGCGACCAGTTCAGAGGTACAATACTTTTAGTTGCAGATGCTCATCGATCTCCAGAATGGCATTGTAGCCGATTCCAGAAGCTATGCATTTTGCTGATTCAATACAAAAATTTCTTAATTTGCATGTGGCGATGGTTGCGCGCCAAAGCCATTCACCTTATGACATATCCGTGGACCACACGACACGGACCACCTCGGCTGGCCTGCTCTCGGTGAGGTGGTATACTCTAATGGAAATTTTTTATTCGTGGTAAAGATCTCAAAAGCATGTATAGGGCTGCGCAGTGGGAGCTCAAGAGTTCGAATACGGCCAGGATTCTCTACATATTTTTCCAACCAGGAGAACTAACACGGAAAAAACATTGCTTATTCCAGAGCTTTGAAATGGAAAAGTGCAACCGTCCTTCGTCACATGCTGTTATAACTATAAGTATACTTTTTGTTTATTTACACGGCATATTACTATTATTGTCCGGATCAGGGGTTGCTAATTTGGGTTGTGCTGTCATATAAATGTCATATGTAAAGTTTTTCCCCATCGCTTATTATCTTATTAGACTGATTTCTAAATCATTGATATGGTGTGCAATGTTATTGTCGATTTTTTTACGCGCAATGTCCTATTGTGTCCCATTATTAGTAGTATGAATTAGTAGCACGATTTTTACCCACGTGCGGCAGGCGGGTTACCAGCGCAGCTAGTAATCTAATATAGATATTTGAGACGCTTCGTATGTATGGTATGGTTGTATTATGTATGTATGCTATGTATGTGTATCGTCTCGTATGTTATGTATCGTATTTGCTATGTTATGTATGTATATGGTATGTATCTTTCCTATACGGCGGACGGCCAAACCCGTCCAAGCGTCTGGATGGCAATTTTCACGAGGGCCATTCTTATACCGCCGGAGGAAGTGTTTTCCTAGAGTGGAAAAAACCTGATCGAACAACCCGTCAAACTCAACCGGAAAAATTCCGTGAAAACCCCCTCAATTCGGTGATATTCACACGCACAATGTCAGCATCACTGTAGCAGTGCTGCCAGCAGCCAGAGAAAAATGCGAATTCCCTCACGCTCATCCGCCGGTCTGCTGGTATTGGTGACACACCGTAAACCAAGACTAAAACACACCACAACTCAAGCATACCAAGTTTCACAGAACAGCAGCCGGGTAGCAGTTCAGAGGTACTACTCACGTCAGAGGGACTCAGAGGTTTCAGATTTCAGATGCTAGCGGATCGTTCACATCCATTGTACCGGATTCGAAAGGCTATGGGCAGTTTCTGATTGACAGTTAGGAAAGTTTTCATTTACAATTGCATGGTGTGCGTGGTCTTATCATATACTATGAGGCAGGCTAATGACATGACGAAAAGTTTCTGCCATTATTTAGCGTCCTGATACTATAACAGAAACCGGAAACCGATACTAAACAGAGCAAAGCGGAGGAACCTGTGTCAGAGGTTACGACTTCGCGAGCATTGTTACAAGAGGCTTTGAAATGAGAATGCATACACCCATTCGTGAGCATGCTGGTTAGAATACACCTATTTCTAGCATTTACACCAGATAATTACTATTTATGGTTGACAGGGGTTTCTAAGTTGGGTTCTGCTGTCGATATAAATGTCAGTACGTTACCATGTTTTTCCCTGCTATTCATGCTTATTAGACTGATTTGGTAAATATTGATGATTGTGTGCGGAATGTGTATATTGTCGATTTTTAACCGCAATGTTTCGCTACTTGTGTCCAATTATTAGTAGTATGAAGTGTAGTAGCGTACGATTTTACCAGAACACCCAGGGACACAGCGGCAGGGGTAACCGCAGCTAGGTAAGCTTATAACCTTGAATGTTGGAAGCTATATATAACTAACCAGGAAACATACCGGCCACGGGCTCGTTTTTTTCCTGATTAGAGTAAAACAGGTTCTTCGGTTTCTTAGAAAACCCCTCGATTGAAGTTTGAAAGTTTCAGTTTCCTTTTAAATATATGCTACAAGGGTGTGGGTTGAATGTTGAGCTAGAAGATGGCCGTTACGGTTGACTCTGCTTCCACTTTCCCGGGTGTATCTGATAGCAACTGTGTTATAACACACGATGGACAAACATTCACTGCGGGAGGATTGAAGTTCGAGGTTGTTTTAGAACCTGTACCCCGCTTGGCCAGGTGTGGCTCACGATTCAACGTCGCTCGAGGTATTATGATCAATGATTCATATGAAATGAAGTATTTATTGTAAAATGGTGTCATCAGCGCAGTGCGTGGCAATATTTGTGTGCATATGCGGTGGTGCGGCGCGTCCGAGTGTGTTCGTGTGAACGCGCTGCTGCGTCCTATCTGCACTTCCTGACGCGCAGTGCGTTGGCGTCGCGTGCGTGTGCGTGTGCGGTGTGTGTGTGTGGGTGGTGGGTTATTTGTGTGTGCGTGCGTGCGTGTGTGTGTGTGTGCGTGTGTGCGTTGCGTGCGTGTGCGTGTGTGCGTGCGTGTTGTGTGTGTGTGTGTGGTGTGTCGTGTGTATGTGTGTGTGTGTGTGGTGGTGTGACTCGCTGCGCTCATGAAATCAAC